TAGCTTGGATTAACACATAGTCTACAGGCACACACCTGATCATCTACATTTGCTCTCTTACAACACTAAACTATGTTTTCTACCTTTATCTTGCATCTACCTACCACTTCAGCATTTTATTTAAAATAATAATAATAATATTAATAAAGGGAGAAATGTGGGATTCACATATAAATCAAGTATAAAAATCAAACGAATATTCATATTTGACCTGATTGATTATAGTTCATAATGAGTGATCAAACCGAAAGTTTTTGTGATGACTGCCTTTGTACTGTTCACCATATAAGAACTTATTCACTATGCAAGAATTTGGTCACCATGTAAGAACTTGTTCGTTATGCTTCAGAAGATTGGAGACTGACAAGAATTAGGCTGGGGGTGGATTAATGATTGTGCATTGAGCATTGACTCCCCTATACAGAATTTTATTGTTGTTAACAACCATTTGATCAATAAATATGAGAGATGCCCTCTCAATATATATATATATATATACTTTCTTATGAAAGAAGAAAGAAACTTGAAAAATTATCACTAAATACGTAAGCTAGTCTTCAAGGCAGTATGCTTTACATTTTAAAAGTATTGTTTTAGTGTGGTGTAAGTTTTGGTATCCTTACATATGTGATACATTTCAGGGGAGGAAACATAGTAGCTTAATTTTCTATGACGTTTGACCTTTTTTCTAACTAGAGGTATTTGTATTTGCTCCATAGCGGAGGTGAAACGTGTAGGAGATACACTTTTGGGTATGGCTACACAGTGTGTTCAAGTCAAGAATGTAATAAAAACATCCCCTCAAACTCTCTCAAACCTGTGCCTAAAGATAAATGTTAAACTCGGAGGGATCAATAATATTCTTGTACCTCATCAAAGGTAAGATAAGCTAATCACTTAAGAAAATGTCCATTATTTTTTCATATCTTAATTTTTCTGTATACTGCCATACTTGAGATCTGTATAAGAGATAGCTTTGGTGATTCATGCCATAGATGTTTTGGCAAAAAATTAAGAGTTTGGATTGTCTAGATTAAGAGATTCCCTTAGCCATTAAGGCCATGTTAGGAAATATAGGTCTTATTTTATGCAAAAAGGAAAGTCTGTGAAGGAAAGAGGAATGATCTGATTTGCATTTTTAAAAGACAGTGATACTGAAGGTCCATCACTGGGAAAGTTATGAATTTAATTTTTTTACTTCCAGTCTCTGGAATATTTCATGGCTGTACAAAAAAGAGAAAGAACTATATTTTAACCTGAAAGATTGTCCGTGATATATTACTAGGTAAAATATAAGTAGATTATATGATATATGGTATATAATATAATCCATTTCTTAGAAATGAAAAAGAATCAATAAAAAAAAAAGAGATTCCCTTATAAAATCCTCTTGCTTAGCTGAAAAGTATCAAAAACTTTATTTATTTCTCACTGGAGAACCCATCATGAGGCTACACACTCACCTGGAAAGTGAGGGAAGAAAGGAGGGTCTTGGGGCATTTGTCAGTTAAGTACATTAGTTAAGTAAGCCACATCAGCCCCTGCTACAGTCACAGGGACAACAGATGTTACTGTTAGAATGCCATCATTTCTATGAGATCTTAGGAAGTATGAGAATGGTAACCTACAAACAGGTGCTAGGCAAGAGCCATTACTTGGATAATGGAACAAGTTTCCTTTTAATAGGTGAAGCAGCTAAAGCTTTTAAAAATTCATCATCTTGACCAGTATGCACCACAAATCATATGTGTTTCATAAAAAAGCTCTTTTTTTCCCTGTTTTTTCATGCTGCCTCTACTCCCTGTTCCTATTAAATATGAGATGAAATTCATAAATGAAATGAATATAGAATTTTATCAAGTCCAAGAACTAAGAAATAACCATTTGAATCTTAAAGGATATAGTTTTAAAAATAAAGTGAACTACTAGCTACTTTAAGACTGTTAAATATATGTTACTCAAATTTATACTTTTGATCAGGAGAAGGGGAATAGTAGACTCCCATAATTCCTTCTAGTGTTAAGTTTAGTGACTCTTTTTCTCTTTAAGAGATTACATAAACTTAAAATGTAAGTAGATCAAAGAAAGATTGATACAGATTTGTGGATTAATATGAGGAAGTTTACCATTTTATGCCTATTAGAAAAACATTAACAGCAGTTGCCTTTTGCAACCAACAGCACCACTGCTTAGGACAGAAAACTGCTCTGAATAAGACATTGGATAGACCCATTGTGACAACTTTTCATTCATGAATTAAGAGAATAAAGCTGTCAGTAGTTCAGGCCTATGCTGCTGTCATATAGGACCTCCCCTGTGCTGTGTCTACAGCTTGCAATTGTGTTGCAGTAGTATGAAACAGATAAATGGCTAATGAAAAAAATGAATTATCTAACTCTTAAAAAATGTGTTTAAGACCTTCTGTGTTCCAGCAACCAGTGATCTTTTTGGGAGCAGATGTGACTCACCCACCAGCTGGTGATGGGAAGAAACCTTCTATTGCTGCTGTAAGTGTTACTAATCAGGTTTATGTAAAAATTAGATGAAGATCAACATTTTGGCTCAGCATTAAAATTTTAACACTAAATTAATTTTAACATTAAAATTCAACTTCTTAACTTTCTTTGAAATCTCACTCTATAGCCAACTGAAATGTTCTTTGGAATTTTGAAAGGAATGCTCATTCTCTGGTTTGGGGCTTCAAGTTCCATATATACATATTAAATCAAGTTTCTTATTTATATTACTCATATCTTCTGTTTCCCACTTTAATTTGCCTTTTGATTTCTCCATGATGGTGTATTTTCAGTTACTTCTTGTAATTCAATATTCAGTTACTTTTATTATAATTCAGTAAAAATAGTTTATATATTTTAGTTGTGTCTTTATTACTAAAAGATGCATTATATATAAGCTTGGTGGGTTGCATTTTTTTCAATATAAAATAATTTTTGTTTTTATCCAATTTAATACTTTGCACCTCGATTCTTTATTTTGATATTGCCATTCCTACTTTTAATATCTGCCTATTTTATTTGTAACCTTTTGGTGCCAGTTCCTTTAAATGTATTTCTCATAGACTTCAGAAAACCAGATAATGTTTACCTAACTTGATAACTGCTTGATTTTAACAAGTGCCAACGTTTTTAAAATGTCAACATATTAGGCATATTTGATAAATTTCAGAAATTAAACTGTAGGACATTTTTGTATCTTTTCTATCATCCATTAAAATAACCTGAAGTCTTAACAATCTAATAAATCTTATTTATCTTTGAAAATGATAGTAATATTAAATTTTTCACTTGTGATTCCAAAATTGATTTCACTAGTGAAGAAAACTGAACTTTATCTGTTAATAATGTTAATTACATTGCTTTGTAGTCTTATAATTACACATGAATTGTGTCCTAGAGGTAATACTGAGCCATCTCTGACATTCATAAGAATGTTCTTATAGAAAATAAAATGATTTAAAACAAATTCAAAAGACTTATTTTGGATTTGCTATTTGAGGGTCATTTTTCCAAGAAAGTTTAAGCATATTTATTTCTTTTAAACTTCTGGGTAGTCATATCCTTTTCTACTAAATCCATTTCTACCAAATATTTACTCTCTTTTATGATCATCAGAGGTCTTATAAATAGAATTTATTGATTCTTTTTGCTATATGGCTCTATTCCTAAGAATTTAAAAGACCAGTATGAGAAACAAATGTAGTAATAAATGACACATAGTATAATAGACATTGCCTTGCTAGAAATGTAAATTAAATTTTATACTGCAAAGACCTGGTATGTTTGGACAATATTGAGAAATGCAGGGAATTGGAATGTAGGATAGCAGGTTGTGAGGCTCATAAGCTCTGGTGAGGCCTTTTTGTGCCATCATGTGAGGTGTGAATTTATCTTTTAGTAGAGAGATAACATTCAGGGAGAGAAATGGTTAGAGTTTTTTTATTTGTATTTGTATGTTTGTTAGTTTTTTTATATATAGAAGATAAAGAAAAAGCAGATACAACCCTGTGTACATAATAAGTAGACAACTTCTAGCTCATTTTTTAGAACACTCTTCATTATTTCCAACTCTGACCTAAGACAAAAGAGAAATGTAAGAATTTTCCATATTTTAGTTTCAAGTAAGGCATTTAAATTACTGGCAGGAAGTTAGATACCCTTTTGAAGTACTGTTTTTATTTATTTTTAAACTGAGGTATAATTGACATATTTATTTCAAGTATACCACAAAATGACTCAATATTTGTATATATTGTAAAGTAATTGCCATAATAAGTCTGGTTAACATCTGCCACCACAATAGTTATAAATTTTTTTTCTTGTAATAGGAACTTGTAAGATTTATTCTCTTAGCAAACTTGCAACTATGCAATATGGTATTATCATCTGTAGTCACCATGTTGTACATTACATCTTCATGACTTATTTATTTTACAACTGAAAGGTTGTACATTTTTACCCCTTTCACTTACACCCACCTCCTGCCTCTGGCAACCACAAATCTGTTCGCTATACCTATGAGCTCAGTTGTTTTTGTGTGTTTTGTTTTGTTTTGTATTTAGATTCCACACATAAGTGAGATGGAACAGTATTTGTCTTTCTGTATCTGACTTATTTCACTTAGCATAATGCCTCACTGTCCATCCATGTTGTCACAAATGGCAAGATTTCATTCATTTTTATGGCTGAATAGTATTCCATTGTGTATGTATGCCACATTTTCTTTATCCATTCATCCACTGATAGACATTTAGGTTGTTTCCGTGTCTTGTCTTCTGTAAATAATGCTGCAGTGAGCATGCAGAGTTCCATTTTTGAAACATGACTTTGGTGTAAATACCCTGGAAAAAAGAGAAGCTGGAGGCAGAGTGATCAGCTGGTTCTCAGCCTAGGCTCCGGTAACAATGATGTGTAGACTTTTTTTTAAGTTCAGGTTTCAGGGATCATGCTTCAGTAGGTCTGTGACTGACTATAGTCAAGGTGAGTTTGTAAGTCCATGCTTGAAGGTTCCCTCTGCTCCAAACACAACAATATTAAACCAGTTACAGAAAGACAAAATTAAGATAGCTATGACTGTCAAAACCAAGATTAACTTCTCTAAGCAAATGACAAGATACAAAACTCAAATAAAATGCAGTAAGATTGACTATGGTTTGAAGCCTTCCAGTCTAGAACATTTGCAGTAAGAGAGAAGTTCTTTTAAAATTTGAAATGAAACAATTCTAAGATGATGCCAAAGTCAAATATGGATTCTGGGGTGGTTAAAGTATTAAAAGGTATAAAGAGAAATTAAAGGGTTTAAATGGGCCCTCTTTTTTTACTTATCTCCTTTCTCTTACTTTTTTTTTGAAACCTTTTTTTATTAAAGTATACTTGATAGACAATATTATATAGTTTTCAACTATACAAGACAGTGAGTCAACAGGTACACACATTATTAAATTCTTACCCCCAAATAGTGCAGTTACTATCTGCCAACATAGAAAAATGTTACAGAACCATTGACTGTATTTTCTGTGGAGCACTTCATCCCCTTGACCAACTTGTATTATGATTAAGATTTTGTGCCTCTTTTTATCCGCCTCACCCATCTCACCCATCCCAAACCCTCCACCATGGTTACCTCTAGTCACCTCTCAGTATCTATGAGTCTACTACTATTTTATTCATTTTGTTTTGCTTTGTTTGTAGATTCCATATATAAGTGAAATCCTCTGGCATTGGCCTTTCTCAGCCTGGCTTATTTCACTTAGCATTAAAACCCTCTAGATCCATCCATATTGTCACAAATGGCAGGATTTCTTTCTTTTTATGGCTGAATAATATTCCGTTGTGTATATGTACCACATCTTCTTTATCCATTCATCTACAGATGGGCACTTAGGTTGCTTCCATATCTTGGCTATTGTAAAAAGCACTGCAATAAACATAAGGATGCATATGTCTTTTTGAATCTGAGAAGTTGTATTCTTTGGGTAAATTCCAAGGAGTGGGATTCCCGGGTCAAATGGTATTTCTATTTTGAGTTTTCTGAGGAACCTCAATATTGCTTTCCACAATGGTTGAACTAGCTTACATTCCCACCAGCAGTGTAGAAGGGTTCCACTTTCTCCGCATCCTCACGAGCATTTGTTGTTCTTAGTCTTTTCGATGCTGGCCATCCTTACTGGTGTGAGGTGATATCTTATTGTGGCTTTAATTTGCATTTCCTGATGATTAATGATGTGGAGTATCTTTTCATGTGTCTGTTGGCCATCTGAATTTCTCTTTCGAGAACTGTCTTTTCATATCCTCTGCCCATTTGTTAATCGGATTATTTGCTGTTTGGATATTGAGGCATGTAAGTTCTTTATATATTTTGGATGTTAACTGCTTCTCGGATATGTCATTTACAAATATATTCTCCCATACTGTAGGATGCCTTTTTGTTCTCTTGATGGTGTGCTTTGCCGTACAGATGCTTTTTAGTTTGATGTAGTCCCATGTGTTCATTTTTGCTTTTCTTTCCCTCGCTCAAGGAGATGCGTTCAGGAAGAAGTTGCTCATGCTTATATTCAGGACATTTTTGCCTATGTTGTCTTCTAAGAGTTTTATGGTTTCATGACTTATATTTAGGTCTTTGATCCATTTTGAAATTACTTTTGTGTGTGGGGTTAAACAATAATCCAGTTTCATTCTCTTGCATGTAGCTGTCCAGTTTTGCCAACACCAGCTATTGAAGAGGCTGTTATTTTCCCATTGTATGTCCATGGCTCCTTTATCATATATTAATTGACCATATATGGTTGGGTTTATATCAGGGCTCTCTAGTCTGTTCCATTGGGTCTGTTCTAATGCCAGTACCAAATTGTCTTGATTACTGTGGCTTTGTAGTAGAGCTTGAAGTTGGGGAGCATAATTCTCGCAGCTTTATTCTTCCTTCTCAGAATTGCCTTGGCTATTCAAGGTCTTTTGTGGTTCCATATGAATTTTAGAATGATTTTCTCTAGTTCATTGAAGAATGCTGTTGGTATTTTGATAGGAATTGCATTAATCTGTAGTTTGCTTTAGGCAGGATATCCATTTTGACAATATTAATTCTTCCTATCCATGAGCATGGAATGTGTTTCCATTTATTGGTATCTTCTTTAATTTTTCTCTCATGAGTGTCTTGTAGTTTTGTGAGTATAGGTCTTTCACTTCCTTGGTTAGGTTTATTCCTAGGTATTTTATTCTTTTTGATGCAATTATGAATTTTCCTGATTTCTCTTCTGCTAGTTCATGGTTAGTGTATAGGAATGCCACAGATTTCTGTGTATTAATTTTGTATCCTGCAACTTTGCTGAATTCAGATATTAGAGATAATAGTTTTGGAGAGGATTCTTTAGGGTTTTTTATGTACAATATCATGTCATCTGCAAACAGAGACAGTTTAACTTCTTCTTTGCCAATCTGGATGCCTTTTATTTATTCATGTTGTCTGATTGCTCTGGGTAGGACCTCCAGTACTA